GCCGCAGTGGCGGCAGCGACACAGCGGCTCTCAGCCGGCTGCTGTGTGACCTGGGACGAGGACTCTGCCTCGCTGAGCCTTGGTCTGGAGAATGGGGATCCCACAGAACGCGCCTCTTCGGCCTGTCAGGAGGGAAGGGAGGGATCCCGCGTGGGAATCTGGGGTGGGGGCCGTCCTGGCTCCTTCGAAGATCTGAGTAGATGGGTCGCATTCGTGTGATCATTAGTAGCCTAAGGGCTGGATTCACAGGACTCTTCCAGGACCCATCACCCCCTCATTCCCATTCTCAAATTCCTTTAGGAATTCTGACCCATGGACACTGGGGGGGGATGGGTGGAGAGGGGCTGACTAGGCCCAGTATGTGGGGAGCTGGTTCCAGATGGGGCAACACAGCTTGGATCTGAAGAGCCCTGACTCAGGTTTGGGCAAATACCTGGGTTCAAACCCCAGTTCTGCCACTTATGAGCTGTGTGGTCGTGGATGAGTAATACCTCTCTAAGCCTCAGTTCCCCCACTGTAATATGGGAATAGTGACCACACGGGGTTCATTCATTCATTCTCCAAATATCAATTGAATGCCTGTGTGTGCCAGGCCCAGTACCAGATGCCCGTTTGTGAAGACTAAATGAGCTCTTCCCTGCCATGGTACTGAAGTTTCAATAAAGGTGGCTGGGATGATGCTTATAAAGTAAGGGACCTAAATGTAGTCATCTCCCAGAGGGGCTGCCACAGGCCCAGGAAACAGCCTGATTCTGAGGAGCTCCCAAAAGGCAGAGTTAGGGCCAGATGTCAGTTCGGCATAAGGAAGGACTTAAGAACAGTTGAAGCTAGCCACAGATGGCTACTCTGAAAGGTAGTGAGCACACTGTCTTGGGAAGTATGCAAGGCTCAGAAAACTAGCTATTAGGGAGGCCATTAGGACAGTCTCCACGCACACTGTGGGCAGTTAGCATGGCCGCTCTACGGGGTTCCTGACAGTTGTGAGAATTCTGGGAGCAGCAGCCCCTCTTCCCTGACATCCTGAGGTAGAAGGGTTGGGGGGTAGACCCATTGGTCTGGGCAGTCCAGGAGCGCCACCTGCTGCTCTTCAGAGATCCTGGTATCCTGGTCACAGCCAGAACAGAACCATGTCTGGGCCCATGAGGGTCTCATCCTGCTTCTCAGCGCCCCCTGCTCCGGCTCTCCTTGAGGTTCACAGATGCACACATTCACCTGCGTTCCAGCACACTGTATCCACAGTCACCCTCCGCATGGCTACCTGTACATGCAAGCCACATGCCAGCATCTGAGGGTCTCCCTTCACCTGCTATCACCACCCATGCAGGCATCAGTTGCCACCCTCCTCTCAGCACAATTCCCATGGCCCGCCTTCACCTGCTATCACCACCCATGCAGGCATCAGCTGCCACCCACCCTCCTCTCAGCACAATTCCCATGGCCTGCTTGACCCCTCTGGGAAGCCTTTCTGACTCCCTCAGGCAGGGCTGGTCCCACCATCGCCCAGCAACCGGAAAGAGCCCGTCCTCATACCCTTTCAGTCTCTACTGTCTGTCTCCACAGAAGTGGGGCACCATAGTGTCCCCCGTGGACAATAATCACAGGGCTCAAGCAGAGCCAACTGTATGGCAAGCACTGCTCTATGAAATGCACTCTGACATTATCCCCATTTTGCAAGTAACAAACCAATGCACGGAGATGTTAGGAGACATGCCCAAGGTCACACAGCTGGTGAGAGCTGAGATCCCACCCAGGCATTAACGGTTACACTCTAACGCCAGGTACAGAGGAAGTGTTTGAAGAATAAATTAGAGTCATGAGATGATTCGCACTGTCACATGGACGCAGCCAAACTACAGACATACTTAGATGAGCCTGGAACCCAGATAATCCTCACTCAGTACGCATGGCGGCCATGTCTAACCCCCCACCACCCATCAGACCTTTCTCTGCTCTTGGCCAGACCTCCTGGCTCTAACCAAGCTGCAAAGGTGAAGGCGAGGCCTCAGCCGGCAGCTCTGAGCTCCACGCCTGAGTCCATTATTCAGAGCTGCATCTCCAGGCCTGGCTCACAGTAGGTGTTCAGTAATTGTTCCCTGACTCCACTTGCTCCCAGAGGTTTGGCTTAACAGACTGGCTCTTTGAACTTAATATTGCCATGCAGTGAGAACCAGGCTCTGTTCTGGGCACTTGCCAACAAACGCTCTCATTCATTCCCTTCACAGTCCACAGGCCTGTGATTGGGGACCAACAAACATACTAGTCTCTGAAGGTTGTTGCCATGAGGACCAAATGAGCTAACACTTGGGCACCCTTCAAACAGAGCCTGGTGCACAGTGAATGCGATGGATACGTTCGCTTTTTACTTTATAGCTGGGTAAACTGGGAGTCTGAGAAGCTGGGTGACTTGCCCTGAGTTACACAGCCAGGAAGCGGGACATGCTGACAGAGCACGGTACTGTGACGTCTCCTGTGGGCACAGCGGGACTTTGAGATCCTAAGGACCCTCCCCCTTCATCTCAAAGTTATCATGGGCCTTGGAAAACAAGTCCCTGTCACCCTTGGGCTGCCCCCACCTCCACCCTGCAATCTCCACACCTACCTTCTTCATCACGACTTCCAGTCTTGCCCAAGGTTCAGGATGAAGGCCAGGACCAGGCAAGGAGGGGTTAACACCCCTCTGAGGGTTTGGGTGTCCTGGAGCAAATCTAGAAAGGCTTAGGGTGATGGTTACATCGCCACTGAGCCATGGCGGGTAGGAGGGGTTAGAGGGAGCCCAAGCCCAGGAGTGGATGTTCACCCCTGCCCTCGTCCCCATGATCGGGGGAGGGGAGGCAGAGAGGGGAAGGGGCAGCAGGGAGGTAGAGGAAGAGGAGAGGCCTAGAGGGGAGGACAGTGAGGGAGAGAAGGATGGGAAGGAGGGCACTGTCACCCCAGAAGCCATTCCACTAACACACTCCCGTTCCTGGGAACAAATTGCACATTTGGAGTCACTTTCCTGGAAGAAAAAAATGGCTCTCTAAAAATATTTTGTCTTTCTCACCTCATCCTGGGGCTAGAACAGCCCAGCTGGTGACAAGCGAAGAAGGAGGTGCAGAAAAGTGACCTGGAGCCTGGAGTGAGAAGGACTGAGGGGGCGGGGAGACTCCTTTGCCTTTGAGACCATGGAATCTAAGGAAACACAACTGTCACTGAGATATTTCATGTCTCTCGTGTGCTTTTTTGGCTTTTCGAGATTTGTAGAGACTAGCACTCCAGAGCCCCTGCTATGGGCCAGGCAGGCCCGGATCTAGATGCCCAGGGAGCTGTCATCCCAGGACAAGAGATGAGCTGCAGTCACGTGGGACGGGTCCCTGTTCTGTCTCTCACCATCTGGGTGGTCCTTCCCTCACCGTGGGCCTCGGTCTCCTCTTCTGTAAATAGATCGGGTCCAGAAGGTCAAAAGTAATTCACAGCACCCTGCAGGTGGCCCTGGGGCAGGGCCTGGCAGACAGCA